AGGTCACTTGGTAATGTTCCTCCACTCCTTCCTTGGAAAAATCTGTTTAAGAAGAGCTTGAACTAATGAGAGAGGCTTTTGTTTTGTTTATGGGCTGAGAAACACTGTGTTAGCAGCTCCCTGCTGGCTCCCTTGCCTGTAGGTTTGCAGACAGTATGAAGAAACAGGGAGAGGGAGATTGAAAAGCTTAGTATCATCAACAGATGTATGCACTGCACACCCTCTTTTGCCTCAGAGTGCTAGCCAGGGGCTGGGGGCTGGCACCATTCCAGCCCCTTGAGCAGCAAGTGGGGAAAAGACTGGGATGGTGAAGGCAGGGTGGGGGTTTATACCCCTTCCTAATCAGAGCCTCCTGCTGGGGTCTGGCCATGGCCCCCCTCAGCTCAGTACTGTGAAATGGGAGGGCTGCTCTAGTGCCCCCCAGCTTCTAGCCTGAGCCATGGCAGGCATGTGCTTGGATTTCTTCAGACCAGAGGGAATGTCTGTGCAGCTGCAAATTGGTTCAACCTAGACAGGTTAGACTAACCTGCAAAGATTGAATCAATTCAGGCTTTTTGAATGTCTGACCCTAACTTCATAGGTCTAAACTCTTCAGAAAGGGAGCCTTTAAAGGAGCTGATTTGCAGAAAGTGTTGACTGTCTGACTTGTCAAAATCATACGTATTTAAAGAATCTCATGTTAGGTAACCAAACCCATTAGTTACTTATGAAATTCAGGCCCTGTCTTTCCCTGGCAATCACAGGCAGTGGATAGGCAAAATAACCATACTGCTGTGAATGTGGGAGATGCTTGTGAGCACAAGTGATCCATTGTAACTGTTTTATGCATCTATTCCTATCCTGCAGCAAGTGATGTTGAACTCGGGCATCTCATATTGCAATGAGGCAGCTGCTTAATTATTATAGTTTCATTTCCACTTCTTGTAAGATATTGCAGACACACAAAACAGTTCCAGTGGATCAGCTCCACACATGGCTGTCCATAGACATAAAACGTATTGGACATATAGGTTCAAATCCTGCAGTACTTGGGCATAAAAGTATGGTATAAGGACTTGAAGACTAAACCCATAATGACTATTTTAATAAGATTGATTTATTGAAATTAAAATTATACTAACCCTCTCAGAGCACCACGAGACTTAAAAAAGAAAACAAATTAAATACACATATACTTTTCTAATGAAATGTATGTAAAGCCAGTAAGCAATCAGACTTTTACAAATGTAACCTCTGTTTTGGAGTGGTGAATAGGTATAAAATTCAGCCTATTTGTTCTGGGAGTAGTTTTAATGAGTTATTTCAAATTCTGGCAGCAATTAGCCTTTTTTATGCCACACAGGGTAACATCCCTGAAGTGGTAATTGAACACACAGAAAAAAGCAAATCATTTGGTTAAAACAAAGCCAAAAAAAGCATGGAGTGCATTACATATAATAAGCCCTACAGAAAGACAGCATTGGATACAATCTGTCATAATATTAACAATGTTAGACCTGAAGGAGACACATTCATACTTTAAAGTCTTGAATTCAGATGGCTTTGATGCAAGATAATTAGGGAACTAGGAAAAAAAAGCAAAACAAAGCCCAGCTATTGACTACATGTTTATGGATTATTCAGATGAAGATGCACAAGAAAGGGCTTTTGAATGTATGCATTTAATTAATTTTAAATAGCAGATACTGCTCCCCAACTGCACCAACTGAGGTTATAGTTAAAGGTGTGTTTTGCAGGAAGGGAGTGACATTTTGTATTTGCCTACTTTTAGGGATGTGTATATATGTTGTGCTGAACTGGACACCTGGTGAGAAGGGCCCATTAGGCATACGGACCAGGGCGTGGAATGAGGGGGCAGGATTTTGAGAGTCCATGCAGGGGATCCATACTTCTGTGCATTGTTTTGTGTCATGCTCTGCAGCTGTTTCTTGTGTCCCAACTTGTGGGTCACTATTTGAGGGCAGAGATGAGGAAGGATACATACAGGAATGAGATTTGAGGAGTCTGCGATTTTTGCAGATCCTCTGGCCACTGTTTCAAATGCACAGCAGAAGAAAGAGAGCTCCAAGTACCACAGTACCATGATTCACTTGTATGCAACTGTGGTGGAACTCCTCCCGTTATTTAAATCTGCTGACACCCACACTGGTCCCTAACTGTAGGACAATTACAGCTAGTGTAAGGAAGGGGCAAGGTGCTGACAGATGTTCACGTAATGGCACAAGGCAATCTGATCCCTAATCTGAACACTTGTGCCTTCTGCCATGCCACACATGCATGTCAGGAGACAATTGTTGGGATCAGGGATCAGATCCCAAGTTAAGCCGCTGCCATCTGGGAGCTGCAAACCCACAGGTTCCCCTGTGACCCCATGGACATGCTACACATTTAGTTTATGATGCCATACAAGCAAGCCACAAGGATATTCAACACAATATGTGGAAGATCTTTGTGGCTGGTTTGCTACTTCATGGTAGCATAAATCAGCTGCCCATATAGCACTGTTACTATTTATGGTGCAATTAACACATGAATTGAACTTTACAGCTAAGTACAGACAGTGAAAAAGCCTGAGGTTGAATTGATAAAATCTTTGCCCATTGGTCTAAACTGTGTAGATTGAACCAATAAGCAAGTGACCAGACATTCACTTTTGATTCCCAAAATGCAGCCACATGCCTGCTGTTGTCTAGGCCATAAGCCAGGGGCGGGTGGTGCTAGAGTACATCCCCCTGATCTGCTGCAGCAGACAGCTTGGGACAAGGCTAGCCTGCTCACCCTGCAAGGAGGTGGGGGGCTTGCAGGGGAGGTGCAATGCGCTGGGGGATTGTGAGTTAACTTGTATTTGGAGGGGATCTGGGATAGAAGTTCAATAAATCAATTTAAGTTAAATCAGTTAAATCTGATACCACACCCATCCAAGTTTATTTTAAGCTGGTTTCAGCTATTTTGAAAGCAGGTTATGTGCACTGAATTTCTGTAGTGTTACAGATTTGAACCAGTTTAAGATCGCTTATCCTGGTTTATGTAGAATTTCTGTCCCTAGCCCAACATTAGTGTGTCAGAGGCCTCAGTGAAGTTAGAATTTTTAAACAGGTCTGCTCATACATACTGCTAAATATCACACAAATTGTTGCATCACTCACATTACCTACTTTATTCTAACCAAGAATACAGTGGGTCTGTCAGCTCACCCACTGACACTCCATTTTTTGGTACCACAGCTTCTGAATATTCAGGATTGAATCCAGTGCTGGTTTCCAGGTGGCAATATGCTGATTTAGTGTGATTGCACATGGTATAAATTAGGGCCAAAATTGGTATACCCTTACTTTTAATTCTCTTAGGACTGTTTTAAGAAGACTCTTCCAACCTTCAGTGAACATCAAGGGGAGTTTTATGTGATCAAGGAGCATAAGATCTGACTCTAACTTGTTATCTTACAGTCAACAAAAATAGGCCCAATTCCTTCTTACACTGAGAACATTTTCTATCACTCTGGTGGTGTAGAAAGGCCTTCACAGATATTTTGTCTTATCTTCAAGCCTGTTTACACCGGTAGAGCAGTATAAAAGTGGCTTCCATGTTAATGAGAGCCGGACAATATGTAATATTTAATTGCTGAAAATTCAAAGAGAAAAGTGTGCACACAACCCCAACACCAAATCTCTCATTTTTCAGCTAACATTGAGAGAAAGAAGAATGGAAATAAAATCCTACAGTCTACAATTTCTCTTGAATTTCAGTCTTTAATTTTCTTTTATTCTGTCCAGAATATTTTGCTATACTACTTAACTTCATTTTCATTTACTGGTTTATAATGATTCAACCTCTCTCCTTTGTGGCAGAAACATATTTTAATTCTGGAAAGTCCTGTGTATGTAAGAAATTAATTTATCCTTTCTTACTTTTCATCTTACCGCAATTAAACTTAAAAACTTTAAAAATAAACAGTGATATTAAGTTCTTTGAACAGAAATAACAGGAACTAGTTCATTTCTTAATGGATCTGAATCTCTGAAATGACTACATATAAAGTGATTGCTTTTTCAATCAAATGATCTAAAGACTGAAGTAAATTTACGAAGTAAATGAAATAATAATGTTTCTTTTATATAGTATGGCATTAAAGACATATATGATGGCTGCACTGAAGGGCTGGAACAGTGCATCCAAGTAAAAAAAACAAAATCTGTGTAGATAAAAGGGGAACTGCGATATTACATAAATAACTAAATAAAAGAAAAAAGTGATGGAAAAGTGCTTGTATAATAGTCAAAGAACAATGGACACTTTTTCTTAACCCTCTCCATAGACAGATGTTTGTGTGGTACAAATAGGACAGAAGATGCAGATTGCATGTACGCACCACCTACTGACAATGCTTGACATTTAGTCAACTTTTGTGTTGTATTTTTTTCCCTTTGGGCACAGGTTGTTTCCAGATCTCACGGGGACAACTGTCATTAGCTCCCCTGGTATAAAAGAGCCTGACACATAATTTTCTTGCTTTGATCACGAAGGAAGGTAAATACTGTATATCTAATTCTTGCATTCTAATCTGTATGCATGCATTATTGTTTGTAAAACAGATTGCTGGAAAGAAACATGACCAACTGAACTTGCATGTTTTCTGATCATCAGCTACTCAAAGCTCTTTACAAGCGAGTGTGGCAAACCAAATCCTTGACAGTATTTGGATGATAGAAGGGAGTGACAACAGACGTGCTAAAATGGTAAGGAGATTACCGTGTATGCATGAAGTTTGATTGATACTGTTATCTGCTCCATATTGCTAACTGCATCATTAAAATGATGCAATTAGCAAAATTGCATCGATCTCCAAAAATATTGTTCTTATTTTTTTACAGAAAACTAAAGCTGCAGTGGTTTGCATCTGTGCCATCTTCATGGTTTTTCTTATAGTTGAATCTTGGTGTGCTCCAAAGGTAAACTTTGGATTAAAATTGCCTCTATAGCACTTTATGAGAGGTTTCATTTCCAGTGAAATAATGCCTACTTTCTTTTCGCAACTTGCAGAGTAAAATAATAGCAAGAAATTGGGGCCCACAGTCAATGCTATACCTCAAAGGACGATGTAAGTTAAATGCACTATCATATAATTTTTGCAGTAAGAATATATGCTTAGTTAAATTAAAAATTAACAATGAAGTAATATGCAGTTTTAAACACACCACCTTAGGTAAAAACATATTAGCTAGTTAATAAAGCTATTTACAATATGAAAGTTGCATTAGCCTACATTATGCAAATAAATACGCTGTGTAAGGATAAACTGACACCAGCATATTGTCAACGATGTTTGTATTATGTACAAAGTTTATTACAAGAGAAATGTTATTTTTTCTATTAATACGATTGTCATAACTTCACCAGATGTTCATTTATTTTAAACAACATCTTTTTTATAAGCATGCACCTTTTGGAAAAACTGTGCAACCGTACTGATAGAAAATTAAGATCGTTTTCCTAACTTCCGTATCTGCACATTTCCACATCCTTGTTTATAGTCAGCCTCAAACCAATTTGATGGCATGTGGCAAAAATAGACTGCATTGTGTACTTTAAATCCTATTTTGCTCTTAGTGTCTAATCCTTAAAACAAACAATGAACCCTCATTCCAATGTCTGCCTGACTGTAACAGGACTCCTGCACTCCAGTGCAGGTTTTAAGATTTCATGCAGGTATTTTAAAGTGCAATAAATAAGCAGGTATTTTGTTGTGTTGATTCCCAGAGCAGTCTATAGAATGGAGAAAGACATGAGCTAACAATTTATGGGCAAAGGCATTTTCTTATCATCAGATAACTTAATGTCACAAAAATCAGCGGCACCTCTAACAAGACATTTGCGCTGAGGTACTATAAAAGGTACTGGGGCTTTGTAGTACACCTACTCAGTGTCTGCAGATATTATCCAGGTGACATTTGCATGGGATGTAGCTGACTACATCTGAAATGCTCTTTCCATCTTGGCGAAATATTGCATGTGATATCATGGGAATAATATATTTCCAGATAGCAGTAAGCAAAGAGTTCATTGAGAATTACTGTCAAGTCTCTGGATTCATAAATTCCACTCTGATTCATTTTTTTAAAGTTTTATTTTCCCTTTGACTGCATGGGGTTGAGACACTGATATAGGTAAGTCACCTGAGAGTGATTAAAGTTAAAAACCAGAATATTTCTGGAGTACATTAGAGCTGAGGGCCCAGACTCTCCCTTACACTAGGATAATTTTTCTCTTACTTCATGCATGCACGATGACCTTGAGGCTGCTTTAACCATTCACAGGACTGGTCCCCAACATAAGGGGATTCACAGATAGGACCTTCCTAATTAGGGTGACCATATGAGAGAATGTGAAATCCAGAACACATCCCCCTGTTCCCTGTCCCCCCCACTCAAGTCTGCAAGCAAAGGCAGGGGTGAGGCAGCATGGTGTAGCTCTGATATTACTTATTCAGGCAGCTAAAGGGGTCAATGGTCTGTTAATGAGCCACTGGTTTTTTTTTACTTCACAGATGTTAACAATCATCTCCCCTTTTTAATGATCATTCCATGATGCAAGCTAACCTATTTTATGGCAATTTTGCTGTCTGCTAGGATTTCCTATTTCACAGCTTGTGCTGCTCCACCTCCCTGACAGTGCCCCATGCTTGGGATGCTCATTTAAATTTTCATGCTGGCTGGGACTGGTCTCCAAAATCCAGGTCTGTCCTGGCCAGACTAGGACATGTGGCCACCCTTTTCATAAAGGTCCTTCCTCCTTCTTCCTCCCTGTGTCCAGTGCAGAGATCACTGCTGTAGGAGTGGTTCAGCACAGTTTTCCTGTTCCCCAGTGATCCCTGGTTCTCATAAGGAGCATTTAGGACTTCTGACAGCTGGTGCAGGTTAGGACAGCCTTGAAGCTACTCTTATCGATGCCAGGGCATCAGCTTGCCTAGGATTAAGGGAAATAGAGAGCTAGCTTAAAATCACTTTTGCTCTATTTCTCTTGACTAGCACTATGAGGTCTTCAGATGGGCCACATAATATGACTTGTAATAAGTAATAACTAAGCTGCAAATACCCCAAATTCTGTCAGAATCAGGACTGAATATGGGTCTATTATTTTAGAAGGTAATGCCATAGGAATATTGCTGGGGAGTTATGACAACTCTAAGGACTCCTATTACAGGAACTATTACAGTGACTATGGTATAGCCTCTACAGTCTGCAGATAATTAATATTAGGATTCCCTCTAGATATTGCAACTATTATAATCTTCACATGTACTAACTGGCCTCCTGTGGAACTCACTAGGCAAGGAGGGTATCTTGCCCAGTGAGCTGGCACTGTTTTTAAACTATCTAGGTTTTGATCCCAGAAATGCCAGGCATCCTTTGTTCCAAATTGCAGTGCCCCCTTTACAGCAAATTTCAAGCAGTCAGTTTGTTTGTCATTTCAAGCAGCATCTAGTAAGAATGCTGCAGCTACAGAAAAGAGTTTGCAAGCTAAGAAATTCTGAGTTTGTTGAAAACTTATAAAATTGAAAACACTTTACATTTTTGCTTACGAATTCACAGCCAACCTTAACTCTGCTCCCATCCTTGCATCCCAAATCAATGATTGTGCATAGCTCTGAAAATCCATGCCTTTTCCTACATTTCTGCTCTCCACATACAGTATCCCCTACATAACAAATATACAAACTGTACTTCCATTACATAAGAGCCACTTAATGGGCCACAGATTTCCTTTAACCTCTTTTTATGAAGCAGTTATAGATGATGATTTTTCACTGTTGCCTACTTCTATACCAGTACTGTCACAGACAAGCATACTGCTTTAGAAAATAAAAAAGGTGGAGTCTTGTCTCTAGGGACATATCCTTACAGTGCATAGGAATAATGGACTATACACAACTGTCTCTCCCAAATTCTTTTTATAGACACGGGTCACAAAACTTTCACAGATAGACCCCTACACAGTATCTGTCAACTTGTGAGACTATCTAGTATTTCACTGCTGAATATCACATTGCATTATTCTTAAAGTCACCGCAGTGAAGTGGAACACAATAATATTGAAAGTCGTTCCTCCCTCAGAAAGAGGAGTTCTAGGCCACTGAAATTATGTATAATTATATTAACTACTCTGACTAGGTCTGACATTCAAACATTCTTGCTCCCTTGGCTAAAAATGGCCACCCACCATAGAGAACTTGAAGATGAAGAAATGACCTCACTCATTGCTCCTAGCAGATAAAGGAGGAGCTTCCAAAGATACAATTGTGATGATTACTGTAGATCAGTGATTCTCAAGCAGGGCACTAGAGCACTCTGGAGTGCTGCAAGATCTTTTAAAGGGTGCCAGAAAGTATGAGGAGATAAGTTCAGGCTCAGGCTCCTCCCTGCCTGGCTGCTACCCTGCTCCGATTGCCTAGCACCTCAACAAGGAAGTAAGCACTGTAATAAATGAGTTTTGAAACAGGATGCTGCTCAATTTACAACAGTTATGGAGAAGTGCCTCTAGTCAAAGGCTCTAGTCAAGTCTAAAAACATTGAGAATAACTGCTATAGTTGTTGCCCATTTGATAAGTTGATGAAACACTTGCTAGTTCACTGGACTGTCTCAGATGTTACAAACAGTGGACATTTATACATATGCTCTGGGAGTGTGTGGGAGGGGGTGGCAGGGGTGGG